TCTCGTTTGGAATGCAGCAATCATAGAGGGATCAGTCTGATTTCGATTGCCTCTAAATTGCTTGCCTCTATCATTCTTCACAGACTGACTGGCACTCGTGAAAGCCAGATTCGTGAAGAGCAAGCCGGATTTCGTCAAGGTCGCGGCTGCATCGACCACATCTTCACCTTGCGTCAAGTGTTGGAGCACCGCCATGTTTATTGGCGACCCACCGTTGTCATGTTTCTTGACATAAAAGGTGCCTTTGACTCAGTCGATCGATGTGCCCTTTGGGACTGTCTGCTGAGGAAAGGTGTGCCTGATAAATATGTAAGCATTATCAAAGCGCTGTACGCACAGAGTTCGGGCAGGGTGAGGGTTTATGGCAAACTCTCGCCACCCTTTCGTTTCACCAGCGGTGTGAGACAAGGATGCCCGCTGTCGTCTTTCCTCTTCAACTTCGCTATTGATGAAGTCATGGAAACAACGTTCGCTGGACACGACCTAGAATGTGTGGAGCTACTTCGTGGTGAGCGACTTCTTGACTTGGAGTATGCAGGCGATATTGCCCTAATCTGTGACAGCATCCAAACATACCAAAGAGCACTGGACCGATTAGCACTGGCTGTCAATCATTTTGGGCTATGCTTTGCTCCATCGAAATGCAAAGTATTTCTCCAAGATTGGCAGGGACCCAACCCTGCGCTAACGCTTGGTGGTGATCTGCTAGAAGTCGTTCAGGAATTCAAGTACCTGGGCAGCTATATTAGCACCCGTGGGATTGAAGATGAGGTTACGAACGGTATGGCAAAAGCTCGAGGTGCTTTTGCCAATCTCCACCACCTATGGCGCAGACGCGACATTACTCTCGCCCTGAAGGGCAGAGTTTACAACGCAGCCGTCCGTTCAACTCTCCTATATGGCTGTGAAATCTGGCCCATAAGGTCGACAGACACGAAGAGGCTCGTCACATTCGATCATCGCTGCCTTCGCAGCTTAGCTCATGTCTGGTGGGAGCACCGCGTGAGCAATGAGCGTGTTTGACGTCGCGTATTTGGTGCAGGAAGAGCGAGTGAACCACGCAGCATCATTATATCATGCACCAGGCTCCGATGGCTGAGCCACGTGTTGCGCATGCCAGCACACCGACTCCCGCGACATGCATTGTTTGCGCGTTGTGGGTGCAGTTGGAAGAGGAGAAGGGGAGGCCAAGTGATGATTTGGTCAAGAGGAATGAAAACCCTCACTTCGAAGTTGGCGTCGGTTGGTGCATCCCGATTGCCTGGCTGGGGTCCTAAGGATGGTGAACACGTTTGGTTGGACACACTCGCTGATATGACTTGGACCTGGCCCCAATGGCGTTTGTGTTGTGAGTTCCTTTGTCCATCCCCCCCTGCTTAGCATCCCCCTCCAATCATGCTCTCACCTGATAGGTATAATATGACTCTTTTACGGCAGCCAGCTGTTAGCTCTCCGGAACGATGTCCATCCGTTACTGGGGACTCAGCGGGGGTGCCACTGATTGTTTTCCTTTTCTTATCTTTTGTATTGCGGCACAATAGCTGAAGTGTTTTCCACCTCCAGCTAACGTGTAATGATGATGATGATGATGATGTCCCAGCACGTGAATGCCAGAATGCTGAAGACCAGTGGAAAGAAAAAAGAACAAATTTACGAAGGAATGTTGGGCGACTAACTTTTGTAAGTTAACAGTTATCCAAAGCGCGTGAGGCTGGTAATATACTTCGTCCTGCAAGGTAAATGTCGTCCGACCAGAGGCATTATAACCTCTTGATCTTCCACGCGCCGGAGTCCAGTGATCCATCACTCCAAGTGCGCTAATATCAAGATGTTGAGTTTTTACAGAGTCTAGTTGACTGACTGTTCGACGCTGGTGCGGACTGGGTACAATTGAGGCAAATTATCCGTCCTGGAAAGCAAGGTGATCAACAAAATCTGCCTATGAGAATCACTTTTGTGAACCAAGCCAGTCTAAGACGTATCTCGACCTGCCTAAGTAGGCTGAAAGGTTTGAATCTTCATGTTCATCCAGACCTGGATCCAGTACAGCAGGAAATGCTCAAGCCTGCCATCCTTGAGCTGGAAAGACGTACTGGTGAAAGGTAAACAGATCTTTGTATCACAAATTTTCGGGTGGTTTCCAATAGTCTGCGAATCAGGATTAACAGGTTGCTCACACTTTAAGCGCGCCCGGCGGCTCGTGCTGTGAATAGGGAATCCATGTCAATAGAGTATATTACTTCCGAACCCAGTGAGAATCGTTCTAGGGTCTCCGCTACGCACTGCCTGAAAGATTCATTTGAACTAGCGGAGACGCTAGAACAACTCTCACTGGGTTCGGAAGTAATGTACTCTATTGATGTGTATTCTCTATTCACAAACGTGCCTCTTCAAGAAACAGTTGATGATTTGTGTCATTTCAACCTGAGTCAAAACATGTATGTGGCGCGACATTACTGTTGCCCCGAAGGGTAGAGTGTACAATGCAGCGCTACGTTCGACCTTACTGTTCGGTTACGAAACCTGGTCCCTAAGATCGGTGGATATAAAGAGGCTAGTTATGTCCGATCATCGGTGCCTTCGCAGTTTGGCTCAAATCTGGTTGGAACACCGAATGAGTAGCGCGCGTTTTCGACGCCTTGTTTACGGCACAGGAGAAGAAACTGAACCATTCAGCACCGTCAAGTTGGGCACCAGGATCCGATGGCTCGGCCACGTGTTGCGCATGCCAGCCCACCGACTTCCACGACGTGCGTCATTTGCTCACCGGCGATGTGGATGGAAGAAGAGGAGAGGTGATCAAACGATGACATGGTCCAAGGGAATGAGAGCCTTCACTTCGGAGTTGGCCTCGGTTGGAGCGTCACAGCTCCCTGGTTATGGTCCAAAAGACGGTGAACACGTTTGGCTGGATACACTTGCTGACATGTCAAGGAGCCGAACCCAATGGCGTTCCTGATGTGAGACCCTTTTTACCTCCCCATGCTTTTTCACTTCCGTCCAACTGCGATTTCATTTCGTAGCCTAAAACATAATAATTTTCCTTTTTGCTTAGCAGCCGGCTGGTAGAATACCGGAATGATGTCAATCCGTTGTTGGTAGCTCAGCTGGCAAGCAAACGTTCTATTTATTTTCCTCTCGTTTATGTATTGCGGTACAGTAGCTGCAGTGTTAAAAACATCCGACTAACGTGCAAAATCATGTAACGTTGATGAAACGATTTCTGCTTAGTGAATATCAGCAAACATGATCATACATAATGAGAGGCACCATGCCGTCATTGATGCAAATGTTTAGGCAAAATACATCGCTGTGTTAACAATGTATACCTTAATGTTACTCTGCAGTTCCTACACAAATGAGCATGAAAGCATTAGAGGATCGAGTTGGAAAACTATTTGCACATACTAAAAGTACAACTAACACACCACTGACGGTGTTGCGAACACGGGACGAAGAGCCACAGATCCTATATGCACAGTTCAGCGAACCGTAGAATAATTCAGTGAAGAGGTGCAATTAGTAGAGCAGCGCAAGTGGCTGCTGATAAGGAGTTCTATAAACATGAGCGTTATATATTTCAGCTAACAAAAAGAGTTGTTAGCGCATTTGATGTCGTTACTTATGCATTAATGGACCTGGTAACATTGCGCTGCCAAATAATTATATTGATCATCTGATGGCCGATGTAGAAAATTTCATCGCGCTCGTTTATCACTAGCTACTGGTGCAGCGGTAGTGGACGGAATCACCGATCATCTGCTGGGAACTCTACACGGATTGTAGAGTCAGTGGTTTCACTGTGCGTTTTCTAGAAGTGGACAATGCACTCAATTTGCCGAATCTTGTGAATCTGCATAGTTGAAGTATTCCAACCGTTGTACCATCATACAATATTCTGATCCAGCGATTGGCTTTCAGTTCTCACATTAGCAATTCATCTAGAACGACAGAAATTCATCCATCAGACCAGATGCATAATTGTGTCCTATCCTCTTTCCGAAGTGCAAAGAACGTTCGCCTAATACGTATAAGTTCTTCGCTTAGCGAAGGGACATCGGGGAATCAAATGTTTGGTGATTGCACAGCTGTATTTTATATCATCAACAATCTGTCGCTGTACAATTAAGTTATACTCGAGCACAAGACGCTTCCCTGAACATTTGGAAGGCAGTTAGCCAAACAGGATTTTTCATGAATACGCAATGCCTGATGTAATCTCAGTGTGTTTGATGTCAATGCCTACCTCGTTAATGTAGTGTGAGACACTTGAGCATCTCGAAAAGCGATAGGTTCATATTACATCGCACCCACAGCCCTCGATGTGAAGGGTCAGTGATAGCGGATAATACGGGAAAAATTACCAAACGTGATTTCAACAGAAATTTCAGAACAATAGATCAGCCGATCTCAATCAATCTTATCAGAAGTGCCTACTCCATTGCTTAAATTGAACACGGATAATCAACAGCGAGTTTCGTGAATACCGCCGACTGCGTCACACAGCATTAGCATTCCATGGTAATTTCATCACACCAATACATGACACAACATAGCCAAAGGTTCGATGCAAAATTTAGTGCAACATTCAAGCTATGTAAGCTTACCGGAATATGCGTCTTCACTTGTTGTGTCTGAACCATTCGTGCCTTCAATATCTTAATCGAAATGACATTTGGAAATGTGCGAATTTTACCATGAGCATTGGCGACCGCTGAGATTGTCTAATGCGGTATACAAATTTGATGTGCCAAAATGTGGGTTTTTGCGTGATGAGATAAATCGCATTACAATTGCGGAGTGCAAACTGCGTTCCTGTATGCACATTGAATGTGTTCATTTGGTCAACGCAATGAGCCGTATGATGTTAGCCACACATATTTGCAACAAATAAGCGGGGATGCATGTGACGTTGAATAATCCACCCTTCAGATTCTAGTTTTTCCCAGCCATCTACATAGCGCGCTCTGGGCGGTTTGATAGCCAGAATAACCGTTGGATTTCCACATGCTGTTGAATGCTCAATGCATAAAGCATTTCCACACGACCAGTCAACGGCGTGCTCACCACAAGCTGCGAGTATATATAACTGAGAATGCTAAACTGGTTGCACTAGCAGTGATCAGATTGAAAAACCGTCTTTTCATTTCACCTAAAATTCAATACATAAACAAGCTCCCCATCTACCTAGGAAATTTTCCTTCGAAATGCGGATGTTATCTCATCTGACCAGAACGGGCGATGCATGGAAAATATCTGCATTGTCTGACAATTACATTCCTACCTAGTTTTTATATGCTGGCATGTTTCTTAGAAATATATACGCATAACGCTTTTGTAAAATTACTTACATGTAAATCAGCACTAATTCACAATATCTGTGAAGATGAATTTCTCCACCTAGCTCTATGTCCCCACATCGCCGTCTTGAATATCACGTGCCATAATCCGGTCGCAAACTGTTCCATGTCGCGATAACATGATAATGCACACTTCCGAAATGCGTATCCCTTGAGCGAACAAGTATTTGTAAAGCGCAGTAAGAAGACGAAGACTGGCAAGTGCACGCATTTTGCATTGTCTCATCAGTCAAGTAGAGATTGGCACATTGTCCGAATGCAATGAGTTTTATATTGTGAATATTCCAGAAAATCTTAAAGCTGGGGATTTCGTTCTGGCAGAATGCACCTGACAAGTTACGATATCCTGTTTTGTAAACAACTAATTCATCGATAAACGGTTTGATGTGAGTTTGATGGAAATGTATCAGTGACACTGCCTGGCAGTATAGCTGATAGGCTGCGGTAGGTCCGCGACTGTCACCAATGTCTTATTGTATTTGCCTACGTCATCCGGAAATCGTGGGTTCGGAACCCATTAGTAGTTGGAAGATTTGGCACCACTGAGGAGCCCAATATGAGCGCCACAGCACTCTCTGGTACTTTTCCAGCGGTGTCAAACCCTGCCCACCGAGAGGGGATCGCGTCTAATTACCTCTGAATATATAGAAAACCCCACCAATCATTAACATACTACTGAGTTTATTTTAATTCGGGCGTCGGAGTTGTACATTGATTCCTTAGGTTAGACGGCATTCGAGTTTTGGATTATGTAAAATTGCGCATAGTACATGCGCGATTATTAATCTAGTGAATGCTATTTCACTCTCAGTTGATCAAATGGGGTGTATTGTCAGAGTGTTGGAAGTCATTCGCTCTTAGCACTGCTTTTGCATGTTCCAAATTGAAACATCTCATCTAACCGACAACCGTTATCGTGAAGTGCAATCAATTGTACTTGCCTCCGGCAGACAGTTAACAATGGATTTATATTGGCGCGAATCATTGCTTTGCAATTCCCGTTTGGAAGATTTTTGACCTTATCGAACAACGTTTAGTAATAAACAAGGTAATACTTAAGTATGTAAAGAAGAACTGATCGTTTGTTCCTTTATTTCCAAGCACCCACTTACATGTAAGAAGAAAAATGTTTAGGATATATTCCAGCAGTGAGATGGATACATAGTGCTAACTGACAAAGTGTGCTTGGTTGAGTGCATCATCCTACCTTGATTTAAATATGCTTAGCAACGGTGCAGTAACAACCGATTCAGGATGAGCATAGCACAAGTGACATACCTAAATGGAAGATGTATTCCCGCGGCACTCAATACGGCGATACTTCTCAGCGAATTTCGTTGAAAAAATTTCAGGCATGTATCAATGCTGAGATACAGTAAGAAGCGCCCTATATGATGTGCTTCTTGCAGGATCATGAAGGCCATTACCAGATCGCCTGGTGATCTGCGAATTCGTCCACAGGAAAACCTTAGTCGTTTCAGCTTCTGCTCATTTGGCATATCGCGCAATCCAATGACGTTGATGCTTTTCCAGTGCATTAAGCTTATGCATAAGAAAAGGATGTCAGGTTTGGATGGCATAAGCGAAATACTGGCCAATATACTCACAGAGCAATTGAGAGAAAAAGCGAGATGTCTAGTTGTCCCAACGTATACCCCTTCACACCGATGTAATAGTTGCCGGTTTTCGGGACTTATAGGTCTGCCAGGATCAATACGAACGTAAACAGATGAGATGGGAGAGAGCCACACCGAAACCTACTACTTTGTTGACGGTCCTAGCAACCGTATTGGAGAGTCTGACTTCCAAGTCAATCGATGCCACGAGTGAGATTGTGCTTCGCAATCCAAGACACAAGGCGGTGGCTCCAAATCCCAAAAATCTACCTCTAACCGCTGTGCCAAACACTGCTCGCGTAGCTCAATCGCCTAGTGATCATAGCGAGAACCGCCAGGCAATATGCGCCGAGTTCCACTCCCAGCTCGGCTATTGCTACCTGATGAGTATAAACAATGTAGAAACCGTCGGTCGTGAAGTGCAGGAATGGTAGAGAGCCACAATGATGCCCTTCCCACCCAGATCACTTTCGTCAAAACGTAGCTCCAATACATTTGTCACAAGCCTGTGTGAGTATTTGATCCGGTTTTGTTTGTGGGTTACCTTGCATTTGGTCACCCCGAACTGCAACAATTTTGGCAGTACTAATGTGACACCGTGTCTAGGTCACTATGAAGCAGTTGCTGTTTGGAATTCACATAAATCCTGCACCGAAATTTGATTTCTGCGGGTATCAGGGGAAGTTTGTACTACTTGGCTTTGCTAGAACCTTAATATACACCACAAATAATCGTTGAATTAGAACTGAGGTTTGCTGTTCGCAGCACTTGTAGAATGGGTTCATATAAAGTGTTCCTAGCTCCAAACGCTGGTTGCCGGTGACGGAGAAAGTTTGCGATGCAGCTTAAAAGAGGGTTAGCCATCCCGAAATAATGGAGATTGGAAAGGAGGAGTATCCGATGATCTAGACAATCAAACGTATTCGAAAAATCTAGGCAAATCACATCAAGATATTCTCCAGTATCAGTTGATTTTGTCCAACTATTCTTAACGATTATTAACTTTGTTATGCCCGATCGCTGCAAAATAAAGCTGGTTTGTTCTGGATTAATAAAATTACAGTTTTCTAGATAACACGCCAACGTATATGCAGTGATGGATTTCATGACCTTGTACGGAATTGGGAGAGGGGAAACTGGACGGTAGTTTTGAAGACTCAATACTGGTCCGCCTTTGTGAATCGGAGTTAATATTCCCGGCTTCCACAAAGTAATAGACCGCTTCTGAGCTAGGCAGCACTGAAAATCAGAGGGGAAGCTTATGCTAGTTGTCTTGCTGCTGCTATTACTACTATTACGACTGCTGCTGTTAATATCACTACAACTGATAATACTAATGTTATTGCTGCTGCTGCTGGATGAGAGCGTGTAACCGGACCGCGCGTATATCGCCATGAAGCTGCTTTACACATAATTTAATTTCGGAATTGTCTGCGATAAGTAAGTTTTTCCGAAAATACTACGCACGAGAGAACTGTATTCCTGTGGAATGTAGCTGAAAAGCGGTGATGTGACTTGCTTTGCGCAAGTCGCTAATCTGCGTGCAGTTCTGATATTCTTGGCACGAATATCCATCGGCAAGACTGGTGAGATGAATTTATAGTAGGTTTCTGCAGTTCGGACGGCGCAAGTATCTGTCCAAAGAACGTAATATTGAGATAAACTATGTCGGATTTGAAGATATGAATGAGGGCCTCGGAAGTGTGCACGCCATGCTCAAAGATATAATCAGTTGCATTAGCTGCACTTTGTCAAAATTGCGTTGGTTAGATTACATACGGAGCCAGCCAGTTTGTCCATCAGGCCTCATTACAAACAGTGCTAGTGCGATTTGTGTACTATCGCGATGAGACTGGACCTTAACGGGGTGCTATGTTTTGTGTGCCTCAGTGATCCATTAAGTTATGCTGGGTGGGGCTTTCTGCACATTTAGAGCAAATCATACCAGACTGACCAATGGTTAGAGGCCAGTCAAACTCAGTCTCCTGGCCCACCAGATTGGCGGTTGGAGTGAGGGTGGTTCCTTGGTACATAAAACTTGCTTTCTGTAGTCCAACGCCAAAATCTCGCTACCTTGCGGCAAGGTATTTGAACCAAAGGCTTTGGCTGAGAACGCTATTCATTCTGCTGTCTAAGCATGGGCAACCTGACAGTATCCTGCTCATGCAATACACCATAACCTATCCTTAAAACAATCTATTGATACCCTGGCCGCCGCAGAGGATAATCAACAGCGCCCCATCTGCTGCCTCGAGCAGAGTGAATAACAGTTTATATTCTTCAGCTCAAGCCTGCCCGCCTTTTGCGCTTGCTTATCCTTGGCGTCCCACACCAACTTCACTATCATCCCCCTGCTTTCAATTCCCAATTCTGGGCCCTCTCACCATCTTGCTAAAATAGTCGCTTGTCTTAGTTGCAACTCACACACAATCGCAGGGTGTCGCTTTAATCCAGTCGACAAGCCTATGTTCATCAAGGTGGACAACTTCAGTCCATCCGTTTCCCTTTGGAGTACTCGAACTTCGCAAAGACTGGCATGTCTCTAGATGCGCATTTTGCTACAGCTTGGTCCATAGGCAGCACACGCCCGAACACTCGAGACCCCATCGTGCGATATTTGCTGTTTATTGGATACCCGCCTACAAGATTCGAGCTTCATACGTACGCTGCTATCCTCGATATATAACGCTGGCTGCACATTCTCATTTCGCCTGTCTGGCAATGGTGCAGCTTCAAATGCGAGTCAAACCGACGACGGCATTGTTTTGAGTCTCCTGGCCCAATCTACCTTGATCGACTGGATCCCTGTCAAAAGCCGGATGTGCGCCATTAGGTTAGCTGGCTCGCTCCAGGCATCGATGTCGGACGGGAATATACGGTGTCTGTTAGTCATTGCAACCTACGTCCGCACAAACTGCAGCCCTGATTCGAGGAAAGATGGTTTCTATCACCAATTTGACGATTTTCTTCGTTACCAAAGAAGCACGGATATTGTAGTGGTTGCTGGTTATCTAAACGCCCAATTCGGAATTTTGGATTTTGCTACGGTCGCAATGGTAATATTACTAAGTGGAACAGTAGCAATGCATCTCTCAAGGAATGAGGAATGTAGTTGCGATGTCAGCTATTGGATACTGTACTATGCGGACTTTGAGTTTACGGTGATAATTAACAATCGTGATCCATTGCACCGTGCTCTGAGTCTAAATTCCGTTTCCCCGTTATGTGGAAGCACTCAAGTTTGTAACTCAGATATTATCATCAAACTCACTCGTGCTCAACAATTTACGACAACGTCATCACACCACTCTGTTACATGCTAACAACGCTAGCTTTAAATATGGCAAGTCACCATTCATCTACTGTGAACATACCTGCAATTGTAGTCGTCGTTGTCGGCGGCGTCGTGCTCGTAGTCGGATATTCTTCCTTCTCCGTATCTGTGGCGAAACACCGTTGAATATTGCACAGCAAATCACTAAGCTGTGACGGTGAATGAGGGGCTAAATATGCGAAACTCAAAGCGACATATTTTACACACCTTAAAAATTGTAAACAGCTCGAGTAATCCTCGGTAATTACTGAATATTTTTGATTAGATGGTTCGCGAAATGATGTGAACTAAGCCAACATGACACATTAAGAGGAGTATGGAGCACGGTACCATACCTTATCGAGGAATGTGCTGATATGTTTGATCTATGTTTCTTGCAAATTGCTAAATCGGGTCAGATGTATCCGCTGTATCTTCGAGTCCCACGATGCAGTCGATCGGGTACGAAGAGATCGTCCTTGGTTATTGGTCCCATTATGAATCTCTGATAACAAAGCTATTTGCGCTTAGCGAATATCAGCAAACATAACCATACATAATGAGAGGCATCATGCCGTCATTGATGCAAACGTTTAGGCAAAATACATCGCTGTGTTAACAATGTATACCTGCTACGAAAAGTACACGGATTGTAGAGTCACTGGTTTCACTGTGCGATTTCTAAAAGTGGACAATGCACTCAGTTTGCCGAATCTTGTGAATCTGCATATTTGAGGTTTCCCAACTCTTGTACCTTCATACCAGGTACCGATCCAGCGATTGGCTTTCAATTCTCACATTATCAATTCATATAGGACGAATGAAATTTATCCATCAGACCAGATGCATAATTGTGTCTTATCGTAAACCCGAAGTGCGAAGTACGTTCGCCTAATAAGTAAATGCTGTTCGCTCAGAGAAGAGACGCCGGCGAATCTGGCGATTGGTGACTACACATCTATATTTTACATATTATCAATAATCTAGCGCTGTTCAACTAAGTTACACTCAAGCACATGACGCTTCCCTGAACATTTGGAAGGCAGTTAGCCAAACAGGATGTTTCATGAATACGCCATGCCTGATGTAAAAATGATTTGGATATCAGTGCGCAACTCGTAAATGATCTGCCCGACAAATAAGGGGTTCCTATCACATCACATCGACATTCCTTGATGTGTGTCGTCAAAAATATTGGTTATCACGGAAAATGGCTTTTTTAGATGTGCAAATTTACCATGAGCCATGGCGACCGCTGAGATTGTCTAATGCGGTATACAAATTTGATGTGCCAAAATGTGGGTTTTTGCGTAATGAGATAAATCGCATTACAATTACGGAGTGTAAACTGCGTTCCTGTATGCACATTGAATGTGTTCATTTGGTAAACGCAATGAGCCATATGATGTTAGCCACACATATTTTCAACAAATAAGCGGGGATGCATGTGACGTTGAATAATCCACCCTTAAGATTCTAGTTCCTCCCAACCACCTACGTTGCGTGTTCTGGGCGGTTTGATAGCCATAACAACCGTTGTAGTTCAATTTGCTGTTGGCAACTCCCTGCATAAAGCATTTCCACACGACCAGTCAACGGCGTGTTCACAACAAGCTGCGAGTATATATAGCTGAGAATGCTAAACTGGTTGCACTAACAGTGATCAGATTGAAAAACCGTCTTTTCATTTCACCTAAAATTTCAATACATAAACAAGCTCCCCATCTACCTAGGCAACTTTCCTTCGAAATGCGGATGTTATCTCATCTGACCAGGACGGGCGATGCATGGGAAATATCTGCATTGTCTGACAATTACATTCCTACCTAGTTTTTATATGCTGGCATGTTTCTTGGAAATATATACGCATAACGCTTTTGTAAAATTACTTACATGTAAATCAGCACTAATTCACAGTATCTGTGAAGATGAATTTCTCCACCTAGCTCTATGTCCCCACATCGCCGTCTTGAATATCACGTGCCATAATCCGGTCGCAAACTGTTCCATGTCGCGATAACATGATAATGCACACTTCCGAAATGCGTATCCCTTGAGCGAACAAGTATTTGTAAAGCGCAGTAAGAAGACGAAGACTGGCAAGTGCACGCATTTTGCATTGTCTCATCAGTCAAGTAGAGATTGGCACATTGTCCGAATGCAATGAGTTTTATATTGTGAATATTTCAGAAAATCTTAAAGCTAGGGATTTCGTTCTGGCAGAATACACCTGACAAGTTACGATATCCTGTTTTGTAAACAACCAATTCATCGATAAACGGTTTGATGTGAGTTTGATGGAAATGTATCAGTGACACTGCCTGGCAATATAGCTGATAGGCTACGGCAGGTCCGCGACTGTCACGGATGTTTTGGTGCACTAAGTAACATCATCGGAAAGTCGTTTGATTGGAACCTATCAGGATCTGGAGGATGTGGCACCACTGAGGAGCCCAATTTGGGCACCACAGCTCTGTCTCTGTTGCTCTTCCAACTGTGTCTTACCTTGCCGACTGTGTGAGGATCTCGACTAATTACCACTGATTATGTACCATAAACCCCACCACTCATTTCGCGATCAACGTTAACAGCGGAACTATAATGAGGCTATAATTCACCTACATCATTATCCACTTTGTCTAGAATTCGGATAGAACTCAGCTACTGTACCACATTATATAAAAGGAAAATAGGCGGAACTGGAATAGGTTCAGTACGCTAATCTAGCGGTAACTGAAATGCACCGTTCCGGAAAGCTACCAGCCGGGTTCTAGGCAGCATTAAAAATTTCTGTTGAAGATTATTATAAGTCTAAGTAATGTAATCTTGTTGGATGGGGGAGACTGGGTGGAATGGGTGGGACAAAGAATGTCACAGCTCGAAGGACTTTGAGGTTTGCTCCTTACCGCATCAGCAGGTGTATCCAGCCAAACGTGTTCATCATCTTTGGTACCTCAATCAAGGAGCGGAGACGCTCCAAACGAGATCAGCTTCGAAGTGAAGGCCCTCACTCCTCCCGACCAGGTCATCGCTTGATCATCCCTTCTCCTCTTCCATCAACACCCCCGACGTATAAACCGCGTATGTCGCAGCAGCCAATAGGCTGGCATGCGTAACACGTGGCCGAGCCATCAGAGCCCTTACTTCAAACAGTTAATGCACACTAGGTTATTTATTATACTCCTGGCGTCAAACACCTATCGGTGCTTGAAACTGTGGTCTAGGCACTATATATGATGGGATATATGCCAAATCTCCTCACGTTGATTACTCTCCCACTATGATCATTGAGCTGCCGCAGCAATTTGGTGGTACTTTGGATCACGCTTTGGATCGGACCCCAAACACGATGAGTTTCTCACGACATATCTTTTCCTGGTTACAAGAAAATGATGATCAGCCACCGTCGCTCAAAGGATAAGTTAAAGTTATGTAAACGAAGAGTATTCGAAACGTCTTCAACTTTCTTGGTGCTAGATCACATGATAAACGTGCTCTGTTTTGCTTCAGTTGAACATCTGATATTGCTTCTCCTCGATTGGGTTATTTGTTTCCAAGCTCTCACATTGGTTCATTAAGCAAACCAGCATTTATATCTTCCTCAGCCAATTGAACTGCTCTTTAAGTTACCAAAACCAGCGTTATGATCTGTGCGACTTCGCGTTAGACAGTTATCCATGCCGTCCAGCTACTGTCGCACATAAAAGAGATTGAAATAAGCTGGAACTGCCATCACGGACCTTGCTATTAACCCGCGCTTTCGTATCATTTCCGGATATTTAATCAGTAGACTGTTATTTATAATGGGTAAAATATAGGTTGCTTGAAAATTCGCATGGGAAAACAGGAGGAAGGAGTATAAAACCCAAGGTAAACTGACTTGACAAGTGGAAAAACTTCGGATTTTGAGCAAGACACCAAGCTACTCAAATGTACTCTGATGCACATTTTCTCACCGCTATGTTCGAGAGAGAGAGCTGATGAGCACGTAGTTTGGTTTAATTTATTTGTGCTAGAAATGAAACCGACTATCTCACGTAATACATGCTGGATTGTGTCACGTCACGGCGTCGTTCGAGTAGCTGTATTATCGAGGCCAAAATGCGTGAGTTGGAATGATTCCCTATGTTCCGAATACCAAAGCGGCACAACTTTTCCTCGAAAGTCAAGTGGACTATTGTTGTAGCTAGTTGGGGCTTCTTGTCTCTCAGTTTACTATTGTGACTGAGTTGTAGCAGGTCGCGACAGGTGTGATTTAGGCTTGTCAGTTTTAGGTAAACCATGACGAGTTTTCCTGGCTGATGCTGACATTCACCGCTTTACCATCCAAGCGCTTGCTGTCTGTGTTAATAGAGGATGTAGAGCAATCCTCCGACGAAGTTGGTCGCTCTACGTTATGGTTGTGCAAACACATCAATATCGTGTTTGCGCACTGAACACCAGGTGTTGACAGGTTTTAACACATTAGAGACCGCACGTAGACCTTCAGCATTTGCGAACTGATTGCTGGTTCGAAATTCCGGGACGCACTGCATAAAAGGCCAAGGTGCCGTCTTGCACTTCTCCATGTCTTTTTGGCCTGTTTCGAGCAGTCAAGTTCATCCTTTACAATTGCATCGAGCTCACTTTCCTGGGAATCACGTTGGAATTGCTGGTCCCAAGTTGACAACAAAGGGTAAGCTGATGGAGTGTGCTCAATACTTTACATTTCACCGTCTTGCATGGGAGCGGGTTTTTGAGTGGCTGTGTGTATTCCCCGTCGGGATGTATTTGCAGTACAGTTTGGCCGCCCACTATCTTGATGTTATGACAGATCTTGACATCGTCAACACATAGTAAGTAGACCTCCTGGAGCCCACTACTAAGCAAGCTGATGAACATTATGAATAATGGTGGTCCAATACTGCTCTTTTGGGTGAACCAAACTGGACTTCATATGTGTTGGAAATGGAGTAGCGGACACACAAATTCTGTTACAATTGAATCGGCTTTTCCAACTCAAAACGAGATCAGAAATTACATATATTCGAAGCTTGTGAAGCAGAATGCGGTGGTCCAGGCAATCGAATGCGTTAGAGAAGTCCAGGTAGACGATGTCGACTCCTAATCTGGCGTCCACCAATTGGG